AGTTAAGACAATTTCTTCTTTATGACTTTTCATCTTTTTGTAAGCATTGTGTTGCTTATTCATGTAGTCTTCGTTGTGTTTTCAGATTAGGGACTTTCACCTTGCAAAAAGAGAGGAAGATATTGGCTCCTATGCTGGTTATGTAGGTGAGCTTATGTTCATTGCTGCATTCTTTTCAATCAAACACATGATCCTAACACAATACTCAAATTCTTTGAAGGCTCTGCATTCATGCTAGGAAGAGCTTTAACATCTGTACTATGGGGAATATTGGGAACTATTTCAGTGTTAGTGAGAATTCCATTAAAGTTCATATTTCAAGTTCCATTAAAGTTCATATTTCAAGTTGACATTTCTAAAGTAATTGTGAAAATTTCTCAAACTTCTCATCACCATTGTATTGCAGAGTTATTTTCAACACTCTCTTTGGCCTTAGTGTAAACTTTTGGATGGCTGTAATTTCAAGATTTCTTCTAGGAAGTATGAATGGCTTACTTGGACCGATAAAGGTTCGTTTCGAACTCGGCATGAAAAGGTTTGAATCTGAATTCTGTTTTTGATCGTTTACGGACAGCTATTTGATTACTTTGTTCACAATATCCAGGCATATGCAGTCGAAATTTTTCAAACAGAATACCAAGCCTTAGCCCTGTCAAGTGTAAGCCATTAGCAACCTTTATATGTTTTGGCTGCGTGGATTTTTACTTCAACATTAACTTAATAAGTACTACGAAATTTCAGGTTAGCACAGCTTGGGGCATAGGATTGATCATTGGCCCTGCATTGGGAGGTTATTTAGCTCAGGTACTTCCATTTAAGGCTTTCAATACAGTGTTATTCCTCGGACTTAAGTTTGAGTGTCGAATACGAATGTGTCTGACAGGGTTATATTCAACTCTAAAGTATTCACTTGAGGTTTTCTAAATTTTGTTATTCAGCCAGCTGAGAAGTATCCGAATATCTTTCCCAAAGGATCATTGTTTGAAAGGTAAGTGAATATATTCTGCTTATGAATCACTGTTAGATTTAAGAACCTTTCATGTTTTGTATTAGCATTTTCTCTGTTAGTGTCTAAATATGTTGACATCCAATTGTTGCAGGTTTCCATATTTCTTACCATGCCTCATCATATCACTCTTTGCCTTGGCAATAACCATCGCTACTTTCTGGCTTCCGGTACGTATTCTAACTGCCCCAATTAATATCCAGACATTAGTACAAGGTTATTATCTTGCAGAAATGGAAATCTTGAAAAACGAACATATCATTTTTATTGCAGGAAACGCTTCACAAACATGAGGAGAAGGATAGATTTCCAGACGACTCATATGATGCTTTGGAAGCTGCAACTCATGATTTCAACACAAAAGAAATAACAGAGAAGGAAGAGGGAAAAGAATCCACTAGCCTCCTGAGAAATTGGCCTCTAATGTCATCTATCATTGTTTACTGTGTTTTCTCCCTTCATGATATGGCTTACTCGGAGGTACTAATCATATTTAACTTGGATTCATACGAATATATCGAAAAACAATCAATCTGATCAGAATATGCTGTTATTCATCTTTGTGCTGCAGATATTTTCGTTATGGGCTGTTAGTCCTAGAAGGTTGGGAGGCTTGAGTTATTCAACCGAGGATGTCGGACAAGTTCTTGCAATCACTGGTATTAATGCCTCTAATGTCACTATCATTGTTACTGTGTTTCTCCCTTCATGATATGGCTTACTCGGAGTACTATCATATTTAACTTGGATTCATACGAATATATCGAAAAACAATCAATCTGATCAGAATATGCTGTTATTCATCTTTGTGCTGCAGATATTTTCGTTATGGGCTGTTATCCTAGAAGGTTGGGAGGCTTGAGTTATTCAACCGAGGATGTCGGACAAGTTCTTGCAATCACTGGTATTAATTTTGATCGTGTTAATACCTGCATAACACCGTCCCTTGATCAACTCAAAGAATGGTATGAATACGCTTAGTAAATACACAGATTAGATTGATAAACTCTTCAACATATACAGGTTTCAGCCTTCTCGTCTTTCAATTTTTCACATATCCGTATGTGGAGAGGATGCTAGGACCTGTATTAGTGGCTCGTATCGCCAGTGTAAGTGCCTGAAACCTTGTAACTTTGCCTTCTGTTTTATCTATTTGTTGGTTTATAATTTTTCCCTAATGGTTACATTATTTGCTACTTGAAGCTCTTAAGCATACCTCTGTTGCAAAGTTATTCTTGCATGGTCTTGATGTCCGGGTTCGCTCTTGGCTTGGCAATAAACTGTGCATCCATCTTGAAGAGCCTTTTTTCAGTATGTGAACCTTTTAGTTAGGCATCTGTTATGCACTTGTCTGCCTTTTGATATCATCAAGTTTTTCCGACATGACTAGGTATCGATCGTAACCGGATTATTCATTCTGCAAAATCAAGCCGTGGTAAGTCTTCACTCCGGATTATTCGTTCTTCTGTAGAATTAGAAGGCACCTCGGCTTAATATGATTTAAAAATGAAAACAAAACAGGAACAACACCAGAGAGGAGCTGCCCAATGGCATAGCCATGACTGCAATGTCTTTTCAAAGCAATCGGTCCTGCAGGAGGTGTGCATTGTAAGTCTCTAGATTTTTCCCCCGTATGGTGCCTCTGCTTCCAGGCCAGTACTCATCGTTCTCGACCTTTTCGTTTTTGGTTCCTATAATAGTTGATTTTCTACTTTTTTTTCCACAGGTTTTCTTGGGCGGAAAAACGTCAGGATGCTTCGTTTCTTCCAGGTATGCTAATCAACATAGTTTTGCGTCGAAACATTTACGGAAATGTCTGGTTAGAATAGAATCGAAGCGAGAGTTGGATGCATGATTTTAGCATAGTATGAGACAAGAACTCTGAATCCTAGTATTGGATTACAGGTATCAGATGTGTTTTCATGTTGAATGTTGTTCAAGCATCGGAATGTTGATGACATTCGAACCATTCCTAGCTCAACCCCGGCGGTAAGAAAAGCGATCGCAATCGTCGTATATTTATCAGAAACAAATGCTTCCAAGGCTTCAAATCATGGCCTACAAAAGATCAAGCTTAATGTATTCTTCTTGTCTTCCGTCAAGCTAATGCTATTCGATTTCTTCATTCTTTTTTCTATTTTTGTCAAATATTTATGTCCGACATATATTTAAAACATAGATATGAAGAAGTAATTATCAAAGCAGAAGTAATTATCAAAAACATGGTTGAAACGAGAGATAAATTCAGCTATTTAAAAATATAGATTGAATCATGTTTTTATATATCAACCAGAACTGTTAAAATAAGCTAAATATATTAATACTTGAATTTAATTTAATATTTTTGTTTTATCCAATCAAATATTTGAAATTGAATTTTGTATGATTGGGTATTTAAGTTTGACATTTTTGTTCAGATTAACAATAAAATTTCATTTATTAGTTCAAATTATATTATTTTAAATTTTTATCCATCCCGATTAAAAAGACGGAAGAGTTTGAAAATCTGTAGAAGACAATTTTTTATTACAAATGTAGTAATTAATAAGAAATATAAATATGAGCACTGCATTGAATAAAAAAAAACCCAGACTAGGAAATCAACATTCTTTTATTAATATAGAGAGATTATATATTCAAGAAACCCTCATTTCACATGAAAATTCAAATATCTTGCGATACTTGCTCTAATCCAAAATTTCTAAAAAGAATAAATTATATTGTTTCTCAATAAAATTTACTCTCTCTCATATTTTTCTCACTGGACTTTGCATATTAAATCATTTTGCTTACTTTGCCATTAACTATTTAATGGCTTTATGACGTGACACGTACATCAAAATGAGATCATTTCGATGAGTAAAATAGGAGAGAAAATAAGTTCAGTGACTCATAGTGTAAGTTACCCTTTTTCCTTCTCTTCCTCATTTTCTCTTCGCCAATCACTACGTCATTTTCATTCTGACCGCGAAGATGGTGGCCATCTGGTCCCAAAATGATATGGGTCAGTTCGTCTCGACCCATTGAGTCTGAATCTGGTGGTTGTTTCACCAAAAAATATACCAATACTCGTGAATTTGGACTGAAACGTTTCAGTTTCCTCACTTTCAATCTCAAATTCATTGACATCGGAGCAAGTTTCGACAAGATGAAGGTCGGATTCGAACTCAAGTTGTCGAGGTAAAGCAACCCATCGCATTTCATCACCATCTACAGCGATCAACGGTAGAATCCGACCACCTTCTTTTTTTAAATTTTAATTATCTTATATTAAATAATAATATAAAAAATTCCATAACGTTAGCTGTTAGGGAGAAAATGATAGAGTGAGCAAAATGATTCGATTGTAAAGTTCAATGAGCAAATTGATAAAATTGAAAATTAGGTTAGGAAAATAGGAGAGAATATAATTCAGTTAGGTAATCTGTAATTTACCCCTTCTAAAAATACCGATCATTTCTTTTGATATTCCAATCATTCCTATGATCGAAGAGATTTTTAATTGGACAAGCAAAACTAGAATTAAAATGAACCATGAAACTAAGTTCGCACGTACCAATTTGAAGGGGGAAATATCAAATTCAAGTATCTGATAAACGAAACTTAATATAATGTACCAAATTGAACCTTATACCAAATTCAGGTACCAAAATATATATCTATCCTTGGAATATTAAGAAGTGTGAAATCAAACTTTTGTTCAGGTCGAATTACTCATCTAAATTTGAAAATTTAGAAGAGTTTGGACAAAAATAATGAACTCCAGGTTGGACAAAAATGGGAACCGAACTTCGAGTTTAACATTCAAAACTTGAACACAAAATCTAACTTAATTGACAAATCTATCCTCCAATGTCTAACTTCGAATGGCCATTAATGGTTGAACCTAATTCACAAACCTACAAACCTACCTTCCTAAATCTCAATTTGTTTTCTTCCTTTTGATAATTCGGAGAGTTCAAATTTTCGACACGACAAGAAATAAAGGTAGAAAAATCAAACCCAAGGAAAACTGAGAATTGATATACAATTGCAGATACAAAAATTTATCAAAGAAGAGTAATGAGAACGAAAACAAGAAGAGCGGCAATGAAAGAGTACTTGAGAGCAGCTAAAAGGATAGCCCCTGAGATCAAAAACAACTGCCACAGAACCTGAACACTTGCCCACGATAGCAGACCCGTCAATACAAGAGCTACGATGTTATCAGGATCGGGATCCAGCAAATCACCCAGCCTGAAATTAAAAATGGACCGCCGATCGTCCTTCGAATCCCCACCGTCACTTGCCTGTTCTTCTGGTTTCTTGTTGGGTTGTTTGGTTAAATCATCGTCGTTGTTTCCATTTTGTGCAAAGAAAATGAATCGTGAAGGTGAAGGGTATTTTGGGGATGTGGATTTGGGGTTTGGGGAATAAAGAAGAACATCTGGGGGTGAAGTGTAGATTTGGAGAAGTTGAGGGGATTTGGGGATGTAAGCAAGAAACGAACCCTAACATTTCCCTTACCATAATTTATTTTCCCTAAATTTTAATTTTGCAGGGTTTTGGGGAGAGAGATAGAAACGAAGCCAAATTATGTGTTAATACAAAAATAAAATAAAAGGCATATTTAAAAAAAATTAACGACACTGCCGACCACAGTGGGAGTCGAACCCACGACCTTTTGATCCGAAGTCAAACGCGCTAATCCACTGCGCTATGCGGTCTGATTGATAAAAAGGGGTAAATGTAAGATAATTAATCATATTAAAAACTGTGCTATACACTCAAGTTGATTGCTTATTGTAATGTAAAAAATTTACAGAGCCAGTTTGTAAGGTTTAAAATATTTTGTAAGTCGTCTGTTAAATATGTGATGTAGTACAGGACATAATTTCTTTTATAACGTATGAAGAAACACACCATTAGTTCATATAAAGATTAATTTCGAAAGTTGTTTTCTTTAGGATTAAGTGTAAAATAAGTGTCAAAACTATACCTATTTTCAGGAATAGGTGCTTACAGTATTTTTTGGCCCGTCGAGGTGCCTAATGTTACAAACGTTACCCATTTAGGTGTCCAAGCCATCAACGACGTTAATTTCTTCCGTTAAGTGACACGTGTCACAATTTTAATAATTTTAAAATTTTGTTTAAAATTTAAAAAATAAAATTATATATTTTGCAAAAAGAAAACACATAAATTTTGAAATAAACCCAAAACTTTGAAAAATCTTCATTTCAACCCCGTTAAGCCGACCACCATCCTTTCCCGTCGACGAAGCTCCAACCGACCTCACCCCCTGACGATCAAAACCCCTATAAAATTATGATCGATCAACGACTAATCGACAATGAATCGATGTTTTATACTCCTCGAACCCTAGGTTGAAAATCGTTATCCCACGCGATGCATACAACTAATCGACAACAAATATGGCATCATATGACTAGGAGGATGCAAGGGACTATGTTGGCGGTGGTGGTAGTGGCCAGAGGGTGGCGGTGGCGGATTAAGTGTAAGATTTAGAGGTTTGGGATTTGGAGGCTATTTTATAATTTAAGAGAAATTAAGTTTTTTTATAAATATAATAATAATTTTAATATTTTTTTAAATTCAAAATACCAAATTGGGACACGTGTCACTTAACGGAGGAAATTAATGTCGTTGAAGGTCCTGTCACCTAAATAGGTAACGTTTGTAACGTTAGACAATTGGATGAGCAAAAAAATAATGTAGGCACCTATTCGTTAAAATAAATATAATTTGGGCATTTATTTTATACTTAATCCTTTTCTTTACGTAGAATATATAACATTTCATTAGAAGAACTGGAAAAAAATATAATATTAAAAAGAAGTTAATTTAGTCATTCTATCAATCAATATATTATTGTTATAGAAATAGTGTACCGCAATTGTCTCCCAATCACCACATAAAATACTAACATATGATGCATAATTGTGGACTGTTACCCTATCAAGAATTAAAACTACTTGTTTTCCCTGAACAAAAATAGTCTCAACAACTTGAAGTATTTTATTTCAAAATTATTACTCTAGCACAAAATTAACCATAAATCCTAAAGATATATTCTCTAAATATTTAAATATTATTAATCACATTTTTTAATAAATCAAACTAATTCGTATATGAACCTGAGATCTCAAGCCTAGACTATCAATATAATTGAATTGGAACAGATGATTAAATATTAATCATATAAAATTAACTCGATTAGATGTTGATTTTGTTTCTTGAAAATCGAAATGAAAATCATAGAAAAGAAGAGAAGGGCCCAACATGAGGGGCGTCAAATCCCGCAACAGCAAGCCAATGAAGAGGCGTCCATACAAAAGAGAGGGAGATGATGATGATGATGATGATGATGATGATGTACAGCTGTGATTGTAGGTCCCATTTCACCTTACTATATTTCCCATTTAGGCAAAGACAAACCCCATGTTATTAATCTTGAACTCAGATTTTCAATTAATAACAACAAACTATTTATCACAAAAATTTGGTGTCCCTACAAATAATATAATTTAGAGTAGAGTTGGAGAAGCCCATGGACTAAGCGATGGAAATCCATGGATTCCCAAGTAGTTTAGGAACTTGTAATGTCACGAAATGAGATTGAAATGACACCACAAATATTTTTTGATTATAATAGAGGCATAACATATAATAAAGGTATTTCTACCGAAAAATCCCTTTGAACCAATAATTATCAGTCAGACACTCTCTATCTTAATATTATCGATTTAATATTTTTTCTGACACGGTGATAATAAAAAGTAGATCGTCAATCGTATTTTCGCAGAATTCTGTCCGAATTGATGTCACTTAAAAAAAAGGCGCGGTGCGAATTTATTATACATCCATTAGGTGGTAGATCGATAATATTAAAGAATAGAGTATCTGACAAATAATTATTAGATTTAAGAGTGGTTTTTCGATAGAAACGCCTATAATAAAATATATTGAGAACTTGTACAATAAATTATATAAACCGGTTTTCACAGTATAGACTAGAGACAGTGACATTACCGGCCCTTGCTCCGGTTTGTTGGCTTTGGTGTGCTTGAGCGCACGTGTCACCCGTCCCGGGTAGAAAATAACTAATGTAAAACTATTTTATTTAAATTTAATTACAAAATATAAATATTATATATTTTATCATCTAAAATATAAAAATGATTGAAAGCTGCTATGAAGATTAACGCATTTAAAAATATTAATGGAAGACAGCGAAACGAATAGTTAGAAAAGAAGAAGTCATCCGTGGATTTTGGTCCGGTAGAATGTTTCTGAGGGAATTGAAATCTGTGAAGGAATTAGAATTTGAAGGAATTAGAATTAGAATCTGAAACCTGTTTGGTTGACAGGAAATTGAATTGGAATCTAATTCCATATTCTGTTTGGTTCGTAGACATGTCAGATGAATTTGATTTCAGTAATATAAAATGACAGAATTGCCCTTCTTATTTTTTTTCTTAATTTTAGTTTGTTTTATAACTTACATGTAACAATATATTATAAAAATATAAAAAATATTAAATTTTCATTTTATTGATTGATTATTCATTTCAATAAATTATAAAAATCATACTAATAAACATCATAAGTTAAAATCATTCCAATTAGGGATGGCCATAGGTCGGATTGGGTCGGGTTTTTGGTCCACCCGACCCGACCCAACCAAAATAAAGTTTCACCCGACCTGAAATAATAATAAAAAATTATTCAATAAAAACAGTGATTTAATTGAAAAAAATATATGTAGAGGGGTATTATTATAATTATTCATAAATATATAAGGTAAAATTATATATATTTTCGGGTCGGGTCGGGTATTTTTCATCCTAAATCCGAACCTGACCCGAATATCACACTTAAAAAAACCTGACCCGAACCCGATTTTTTTTTTTAAAAAAAAACCCAACCCGATCCCTAAATTTTATTAAAAAAATCTAAACCGATCCCTAAATTTTAAAAAAAATCCAACCCAAATACCGAAAGATTGACGAGGGTAGTATGTTCAAATTTCACATTCTCTCATCCAAATGATTTCAATTTCATCATGTTACGGATGAAATTTACTTTCCCTCCATTTATGGAATTAAATTCTTATTTCCTATTTAAAAACTTAAACCAAATATAAAAAATATGATGAAATTAAATTTTAATTCCCCTAATTTGAAGGGTTCAGCAAATCAAACGCTACCTAAGTGTCGGCTATAATTTGAAAGCAATGGCTAGGGCGCCACCATTGCTTGAAGCCATGGTCGTAGGGCCCCAAGTGCCAAAGGTCTTGGATCCCACTACACTTCACATGTCTGGCCATACAACATCAATTTATTGGATATCAATTTTAAATCGTACGAAAAAATTCTTATATACAATCCTTACTACAAATTCTAACATAATACTAAAATCATTGAAAATAAGTTTTAAAAAATAATCATTAAATAATTTTAATGATAAAAAATATTATTCTCTCTAAATATTTCAAGTTTAAATAATTATATTTATGAGATTTGTGTGTATTATCACCCTAAATTATTTTTAAAAAGCAACTAAAAATTTATTTATAGTTTAAAATATGAAAAATGTGGGTTTAATATATAATCGATTACATATAAACTCAACATGTTTGGTCAAAAGACAAAGTTGAAGGACACTGCAACACACGTCATTTGAGTCTTCGTATATCATACGCTCGTGTAATGCTCCGACTACTGCAGAGCTTCATTGGCTCTTAATTACGTTAGCTTTTTGTATTGCAGTTTACTCAGAAAGACGAGAAGAAAAGAAGAAAGAAGCTAAACATAAATTTAGTGACCAAAGTTGCGGTAGACTCGGATCCTGTCCCCCTTCTAATTGGTCCATACAAACTCCTCAGCAATCAAACATTTTGACTCTTATTTCACTCTTCAAGGGAAAGCAAAAAAACCTGATGGAAATGGGTGACCAGTACGGCCTGCCTGATCTCCGGCGGCTTTTAACAAGGAGAACCCATTTTCCCGTATCCCTGCCGCTGCCTTCTGACCCGTACTTTGCTCATAGGATCATGACCCCGTCGGCTCCTTTCCATGATGCAGCCTACATGCTCAGCAATGGGATTGCATTGCCTAGTGGTTTGCATAGGTTTAGCACCAGCTCCACCACTGCTTCAGCTTCTGCTGGTGGTGGTGGTGGTGGAGGTGGTGGATGGAGTATGGGAAGTTTCGACGGCGGAAACAGCCGGTGGCCGAGGCAAGAAACCCTTACTCTTCTTGAGATCAGATCTAGACTTGATTCCATGTTCAAAGAGGCTAACCAGAAAGGAACCTTGTGGGGTGAAGTCTCTAGGTATATATTTATACATATATCATCAGTGCACTAAACTAACTGCAATCTTCTTCTTCTTCTTCTTCTTCTTCTTTCAGTTTTATGATAAATGCTTAATCAAGAAACCCTATTCATCTTTGCCGAGTGAAACCAGTTTGTCTTTCTACTTATACGAAAACTCACACAGAAACAGAAGCTTTCAAACAAATGATTTTGTTCTTCATTTCAAATGGATTTTTATTAAGTTTCTGGTTGAAAGCAACAGAGCTGTGAGTTAACATAGAGATGCAGGTTTTCTTTCTCCTGTTAAAAATAGAAATGAATTTTTTTTCTTGTTTTGCAAACGTGGTGAACCAATGGCTTTCCTTTACTTTCACAAAACAAAAACTTAAAATAATAATAGTGAACCCTAAACCATAATAATTAATTTAATATTTTATCTATAATTTTTAATTAGTTTATATTTAACTTGTTTATCATGATATAGAATAATGGCGGAGGAATATGGATACATGAGAAGTGGGAAGAAATGTAGGGAGAAGTTTGAAAACCTATACAAATACTATAAGAAGACTAAGGGAGGTAAAGCTGGAAGACAAGATGGGAAAAATTACAGGTTCTTTAAACAGCTGGAGGCCATTTGTGGTGAAACAAGCAATCCTAAGTTCAGTCCCAGAAACCAACATTAATGTCCCGAGCAACCCTCAGCAAGAAGAATTCATGCAGGAACAAAAG